CCTTCCTTCCTTCCTTCCTTCCTTCCTTCCTTCCTTCCTTCCTTCCTTCCTTCCTTCCTTCCTTCCTTCCTTCCTTCCTTCCTTCTCCACAGATTTGACTGGAACTCTAGGTTAGAGCAGCAGAATTGGAATTTGTTCCTTCTGTTTTCTTTGTTGGGGTTAAATCATGTTGGTGTCCATGTTACCGAATGTTTTTGTATAGTTTCTCCAAGGTCATCTCCATGGCTGTCTACATTTAGAGCCAAGAATGTGGAAGAATTATTTTATATTAGGTAGCTTCAACGTTGTCGGATTTTGTGCAGCGGCAGCTAACACCCCTCAGCTCCTGATGCTGGGTTCATAATATTAATATTTTATGTGTTTGATAATGTTGGTATTCAACTGTTACTTCATGTTATTCTGCTTTGTTGGGTCTTTGTGGTCTTTGACTGGCACTTGGAAGTGACTTGGTAACTTATTGGTTTTGATTTAGGTCATTCTAACCCAGTTTATCTTCTGATGTTTTTTAAATTAAAAACAATTTCCCAAAAGTTAGCTGGATCAATTATTTTCAAGACCTTTTCACCTTCAGATTTTAAATTTGGTGTAAGTAAACCTTGATTGGGCAGCTGATTTGCAAGGCTAATCCAGCTTTGCCCCACCTCTTGTCCATTAAATGAATACTCCATTCAGGCCTCTTTCAGATACTCTGAGTCTGAAAGCAGATAGCAACAGTCATTCACAACCATTTGAACCCATAGTAGTTTCTTCCATCATTCTCCCTCAGACCATCAATCTTTCCAAAGGCAGGAGGAGAAACAGAGTCACAGAAGCTCAGGATGGACCTCCTTCCATATTTCTCAATAGAGACTTGGGCACTTCTTTATTCATTGGCCTTCTGATGTAAGTAAAATATGATGTTCCATCTTCCTCTGCCTGCATGAATTTCAGCCTTGCTTGCTGCTGTGTTCTCCTTGACCTGTTGATGTCCTCCTTATGTCCCATAAATGAATAAGTAAAATCTTGTGGGTGATAGTCTACTGAGTTATAGGAACAAAGAGGCTTCTTCTAACTTGAACCACTGGTTTGCTTCAACTAATCTTGTCCACACTCCTTGGTCTCAAGCAGAAACCTTTCCCAGCTTGAACTGGAGATGTCCAAGGTTGAAGTAGGACTCTTTACTCTGCACAGCCTTACTGCTGAGCTATAGTCAAGTTCCACACACTGATTTTGGTGCTGTGCTGCATCTATTTTTCAATATGGAGGTGCTGGAAGAATGTAGTCTTTGCATATTCTAACTGACCTGATCCACTCTTGGCTTCAACATCATTCTTGGCTCCAAAGATGTACCCAAAGGCATTTAAATATTTGTATCCTGAAAGAAAGTACATTTAGAGTTATTTACAACTCTGAGCTTGGAAGCTAAGCTTGGATATCAGGTCTGGTAAGTACTTGGAGGGGAGACCATAAAGTCGATATCAAAAAGCCTTTGACTCTTGGTGACCATAACCTGGTCCTTCAGATCTTCTACCACTCATCACTGCTCCAAGTGAGTCCATCCACCGGGCATGGGTGACCTACCTAAAATCAAGTAGAAAAGATGGGGGAGTAGAAGAAAGTTCAAACTGAAACATCCTGGATCGTTACCTACAGTACTTTTTGCCATAAAAGCTAGCTTGGCTCTGATTTCTCAGCAATAAATATGTCTAAGTTGCATTTTTATTTTTCTCTTCTCTTCTCCCCCCTGCTTCCTTTTTGCCTTGAGCTGGTAGAAGGTCTAAAAGGAAGCTTGTCTTTCTTTAAAAAAATTGATTTTTGCTCAAGCTTTTAAGGCTTCTTTCTATTGTGGGTACCCATTCCTTTATGAAATGATTGCTTTTACCTTGAGGTTATCTCTCTCTGAAGATTTCTGCAGAAGCAGCAGCGTCCTAGCTTATCAACGGCCAGTGCTTATTAAACAGTCTTACAAAGTCATTATTGCAGAAGGGATGGAGAAAGATGCTGATATATATATATATATATATATATATATATATATATAT